TAAACAACAATCTCACAGATGCACAGCATACAACTATACAAATTATAGGGATAATTTATTTTAAAAATAGGCATTCAGTTGCGATTTGTGATTACAAAAAGAAACTTTAACCACTTTTTCTGATCAGTAATGTTAGTGTTATAGTGAAAAAGTTTCTAGAAACTGGTGTTTTTAATCCTAATAAAGCATTGTGAGCATGATGAAAATTGTTTTGACCAAAATTTTGAATGTCATGCCATTTAAAAAATAAGCCTGTGGCTGTGGATAACATTTGACACAAAATCTTATCCAAAAAATAACTGTTTGGTTGCATTGGAGGAATAATTTCTTCATTGGTACTTTTTTAGGGTGCAAGGATGACTTGACATTACTAAATTTAAACCTTTGTTATAAGTGGTCTTTTTGCTTTAATTTCTGATACACCTGTATTGTACATACTTGAAAAATATAAAATTGTTCAAGTGGGAAGTTTATATACAAGGTGTCTCATTGAGAAAGGGATACAGAACAACTGAAGAGTCTGATTAAAAATAAGACTATGCTTAGAATGCGAATATTCTTTATTTTAATTTTGAAGTTTCTTATAAGTTCCCAACAAAAGTACCTATATGAGTTACTTAAAAAACATCAAAAAATATATAATTATAGTTCAAATAAGTGCAACGTATCTTATGACACCAAAAACTTTTGCCAAATTTTGTAAAATTATAGGTAACTCTTCAGTTTTTCTGTGTCTCATTCTTAATAAGACGCTAAAATTTTTTTTTTAATATTTATACAAATATTTATTGACCTTTAAACAACACTATTTTGTTGTTTTGATGTCTTATGCTAGCAGCTTTATTAACTCTACTTTGAGTGAGATATGTTAGTCAACTATGCACTTGATTAATAATATTCCATGATTATCCAATACAAACTGGTCCAAACTGTGCTGCATAATATTCGAAAAGACATTAGAATTTATGAATTATTTAAAAACTAATGTGCTGATGATATCAACTGATATTTTTTTCTTAGAGTCTTGCATAATTTTAAATATTTTTTCACATTTTAAATAAATGTTTATTACATCTTCCGATCGATATTGCAAACCATTTTTATTCTTTATATCAATGAATGAAAATAGAAACAAATCTCTAGTTTTACTTATTAAAGCATCTAGACATTGTTCACAAATGATTTTCTTTTTTAAATAATAAACAACATATCTAGAAATGTAAGTGATTATATATTTAGGAAAGGAGGAGACTGGATCTGGTAAATAATCATGATCATTTTCAATAACATTCACTTTCTCAAAATCGTCAATATTATCAGACATTGCATATTCCTTTGAAGTAACATTTAACTGGCTTGTTATATTGCACTTTAAAATAGTTAATTCCTCCAAAGGAATACAATTTCCACGGAAACTATCCCTTAATTCAACATGAACTAAATTTTTTTTATATGCAGACTGAAATTGCCTGACTGTAGGATTATTGTTAAAACCTCCATGAGACCGTATTGAACAAAAAAATAATTCTAAATTGTCTTGTGAAATTTTGTACAAAGGCAAAAATTTTAAAAACTTATTTTATACAATTAAATTATTGTATAGTAATTTTAGGCTTGCAATGCATATTTTTAAACATAGAAAACCAGTGGATCTATCAGTTTCCAATAGAAGTTTACCATCAGCATGTGTTCTTAAAGAACTAATATATTTATCGACAGAGTCAAGAAAAATACATGTATTATTGTAATTATTTTTAGATAGAGGTTTCTTATAATTGAGTTGCAAAAGATTTCGTGAATTCAGGATGTCAAACAGAATGTTCATTTTTCTAATAAAATTAATTGTCACCCCAGCATTTTTAAAATCTTCAATATGTAGAACGTTCGCACAAAAATCTAAGACAGTTGCGACGCTTTTGCTAAATAGTTGGGTTGCAAGACGAACTTTCATTTTTTGTTTCTTAAAAGCTCTATGTTGTGAGTTTAGCTTATTTGCTAAGTGGAAAGATTCATTTTCCTGTAATTCGTGAAGTTGTTTGAAATACTTCCACTCAACAATTTTATTTTTTTCATTTACAAATAAATACTTTCCTGCTAAAGTGTTTCTAATTAACTTTAGCATATGTGGCGGATCTAAAAATATAACAATTTCTTCATTATTTAATGGATGCTTGAAACTAGTTTTTAAAGTTGTATGATGTAAATTACAGCCCAAGAGTTTGGCCATTGTTAGATTATTAGAAGCACCATCAAATGTTAAACTTACAACAACACCTACTTCATATTATTTCTTTAAGCATTCTAATACCAGCCCCTTTTTCTGTTCACCTGTCATACTCGAAATTAAAAAATATCCTACTGGAATTTTCCAGCTTCCATTTACACAATTTAATAAGAAAACAAGAGCATTGTTTGCAAGCGTTGTTTCATTTATACCCGTTCCTACATCTACACAACCATAACTTCTACGTTCGCTTCCAACAAACTCCTCATGTTGACGAATGGCCATTTCATCCATAATAAGTGCACAAATTATTTTTTCATGGGAAGAATTTGATTTAATATGTAGGGCATTGAAAGCCTCCCTTGTAAATCCAGGCTCACCTTTTATACTTTGATACTATCGACTGATTGTACGGACATGTGGTAAGCAAGTGTCAAATGTTCTTCTTACATAATTATAAGCAGCAGGTGAGTAATAGTGGAGAGTTAAGGAAAACACTTTTAGCTCTTCTGAATACTTCTTAGGCAATGGTAGGTTAGACTTTTTTATTAATTGCCTGCTACATATCTCGATGGGGCCCCCAAGTTTTGACATTATATCTAACTCATCTTCCTGCATCAAACGTTTTTTACTTAAATCATTTAATATATTTTTTAAGTTGGCAATTTTATTCACTTTTCGAGAAAGTGGTCGTTTTAGCAATTTTAATTTTTGCTTTCTTTTTGCACTTGTTGCCCGGATAGAGGAGAGTGTATGTAATATTTTTTGTTTCTTTGGCGTCAGCGGTTCTTTATATGGAATATTTAGAGAAGAAGTAGAGGGTACAGGTAATTCGATCTGACTGGTTTGATTTGCTGGTTTAATAAGAATATTTGATAGGATCCTGATTTTTGGAGGAGGAGGTGTAGGTATGGATGGGTTAGTCTGGAACAAGATTTGGTATGTTATAAAGCCTTAAATATAGATCCATGATACAAAAACTACTAGTTTATGTTCCAAAACTACCAATTTTTAAATATAACTTCGTAATAGATTTTAAATTATATTTATTGTGTATTGTGAACAAAGTCGGCAGGTTTTTAAATTAAGGAACATTAATTTAATGTTTGTTCATTTAATATTAATAATAATTGTAATGTGGTACATGAGCGGGCATATTATTTTATATCAAGAGGTTGAGGAGGTACATAGCATTGAGTGATGGCCACAAATCTAATTAAATAATAAAAATACATCACCAGTATTTATTATTAAACAGTATATTTATTATCAAAACGGTATAATAATAGGAAATTAGGATCTAATAAAATATGCTTTTAAATACTTTAAATTTTATTCTAAATTATGTGTTACTTAAAAAGTTAGTCATTTAAGTGTAATTATAAGTTGGTTTTTAAGTTTAATTATAAATTGGTTTTTAAGTTTAATTATAGTTGGTTTTTAAGTTTAATTATAAAGTGAGTTATTTAAGTTTTATTATAGTTGTCTAAGTTTTAATATAGTTATTTGTCTTTATTATAAAGTTAGTCAAGCCAATGTTCTTTATTAATTTAGTTATTTAAATTTTATTGTAAATAAAGTGTATACTAACTAAACATTCATTTATTGTCCGAACAGCATTCTTCTTCAATCTGACCCTAAACTTACTCTTATAAAAAATTCTTCCCTGTGAAGTGAATAGAGCACAACATGCTATTCGGTTTAGGCTCAAATTGGTCTTTTCCCACAAATTTAGACCAAATTTTGAGATATTGTGGGTCTTTTGGAAACCTATAATAAAAAAAAGTTAAGCATTCTAAAAAAAATTCTAAGTACACTCCTTATACTTACTTATGAAAACTATAATTAGATATTTTCTTACGATATTTCACTGAAGAGTTTTTACAATTAATTCTGGCACACTTAGTCATGATTTTTATACAAATTAATAAAAAAAAAAACACTTATTAAAATAGAAATAACGTTGAAATATTTAAATTTGAACAAAGTTCTGACAGCTCTTTGACAACTATGATATGACCACTAAGAGAGGGGGAAGGGGTGCCGTTTTTTTGGCATGCCATCTCCATAGTATTCAACCTCATTGGCTGGTACCCACGCTAGTTTTACCTTGTTGTGGGTTTCAGATCATTTAGTATTCCAAGGCCGTTGCAGACAAGCTTTGACTTGATTCTGTTTAAATCAAGAGCCTTTAAGGCTACTTGGCTATCTGAGAGAATAAGGATGGTTTGTTTTTTGTACTTCCTTCTTAAATTCTCTCGTACACACAATTCGATTGCATGTATTTCATCCTGAAATACAGTGGCATGTTTTCCCAGTGAGACGATGATGTCGCATTTGGGTTTAACTCCATGTTCCCTTGTTAGTTTTAGATCATCCGTATACCATACGAGACCGCTAAGCAACTATTTATCTATCTTCTTATTTACCTCGTTCCAGTTACAGTTAACCTGGAAGAGTTTGTTAACAGTTAGGAGGGGTGTCATGTGATCTGATCCCATATTTAATATAGAATCATTTACTTTATGTGTTATTCTGGTATGTTTTATATGTCCCAGTGGGTTCCAGTTGGAAATTTCCAGTCTGTATGCACTCATTCTGGCCTCCCCCTTCATGACTAGGTCAAGGGATGGGAGGTTTAGAATGATTTCCATAGAGGCTGTCGGTGTACTGAAAGTGTCAATTTAAAATCTTTTGAAACCCTATGTTGTTTAACTTTTAAGACGCTCTTTGATAAGAATTATAAAAATTAAATATGATAATCCTGATATTCCAGGATATGTATGAAAAAATGTGCCAAATCGATCAGAATGCTCCGACAGAAGAAGAGCATAAGATGAAAGGAGTCACGAAACCCAGGTATATGGTTTGGAGAGAAACCATTTCTTCCACAGCCACTTTAGGGTTTAGAATCGAAGGAATTAGAAGTGCAGATGGTACTTCTACAAAAGATTTCAAAACCACAAAAACCAAAGACCAAGTCATGGCCGCATTTGAGAAGTTCACCGATGGGTTCCCACACGCCATTGTAAGTATATTTGTATATTAATAATACGAGGGGAATTTTAAACATGTATTTGTTTACACACGACTTAATTAAGAGAAGTAAATATTTTATTTACGAACATTGTTCAAATCGATTTGTGATATATGCGTTTTTGATTATAAAAATAAGCAAATTGCAAATATTTTAATAATACAGAAGCTCTTAATTCAAATTATTATGAGTATTAAAACTAATAATATAACATTTGAGCTTTTGTAGCTCAAAAATATCTGCAATTTGCTAACTTTTCCAATCAAAAACGCATATATCACAAATCGACTTACAAGTTTTTGCACTTTAACCATCGACATATAAAATATGTCACTTTCCATAGCTTCCACGCTTCAGTTATGGGAAGAGTAAGTTTTCTCGCAGCGCTTATAGTCCAGTAACTGAAGGTACCAACCTGTCATTAAGTCGGTCCAGATTTCCGTTGTGGCTCAACTCTTAGGTCTCGACGGTCGCATCCAAGGTCGAAAACTTTTACCAACTCTGCTGCGTCGGAAAGGGCCCAAAATGGACCCTAAGACTGGCTTCCCGCCAATATCTTCCACAATATGCAAATTAGAGAATTTTTGTTTAGATAAAAAAGAAAGATCTTATTATTATCTACAAAAATAGTCCACATCATTTTTGTCGGGAATTCGAGAGGTTTCGAGGTATCCGCAATTAAAAGTCCCCTCATTCAGCCCCTGCTTTATCTCTATACCAATGCTGATTAGCTTGTAAAGGGTGGACAAATTGTTTCAGAACTCGGTCAAAAATTGATATTTTCCGATGATTCAAAGTTCATTACAATGGGAAAACCCATAGGTATCGATCAATGTGCCTTAAAGCCCGTTATTTCCTGTCAAGAGCATTGAAAAAGGGGTCAAAGTTGCGTTTTAACACTATTTTGGACCACTTTATAGTAATTCATTCATATTTTTTTTTTTTTATAGTTTTTTATCCCATTTTTGTTTTAAATGGGATCTTGAGATGTCTAGAATAATCTCAGAAATTTTTTTCCAGTATCTTCCTGGCGTTTTAAAACAAAATTGATTTGTTTATTTGCATTTTTCATACGTTTTCAGAGTTCTAGAAATCTTTGAAACAAGCAACTCATATTTCATTATATTGTTATTCAATGTACACCATTTTAAAGCTTAGAGTGTCTACTTTTCGAATGTATTTTTTTTTAATAAAGTTGCTGCATTTACCAGAAATCGGGAAAATTGATCACACCGGGGAAAACCGGACTTTTTCTTTAAATACTTCTTGTTCCCCGTTGTTCATTTTTTGAACATTAATACCCAGACCGAAGTGAAGCTGATATTTTCACCTTTCCATTTCTATCAATTGATCCCTGTATGTGAGCATGGTTCTTAACTGTTTGTTAGAATTATCTCCCCCATTTTTACGCTCTCCGCCTGAGATTCCTAATATTCAATCATAACCTAACCACGTGTACCCACGCGCCATGGGCTCACCTTAATCGTTTGCTTTTGTTGGTATACAATCTCTGTTGTTTTTGGAGTCGTTATTGTCGGTTGTTATATATTTCTTTCGTATATTTAAACAAAATTCACAATTCTGGGTTCGAGTAGTACAATAATAAACAATTATTACTTTTCTTTTCTATAATTAACACAAATGAGTTAAAGTGGAATATATATATCGAAGATTTGGGGTTGAGGTAAGTCTTTTGTTGCTATATCTATCATATAATTATTTCTACTAATGTTATTCTTTTTTTTTTAGGTTAAAACAAACACAAAATAGAAAGCCCTTTAGATACAGAGCTTTTAGCGGCACTTCTAGAAGACTTGCTTTACAAAGTGAGTGTAAATTACCAGAAAAATTAATGAAATTAGGTGTAAAAGGGATCCGGCCCCCCCGGAACTCTTGAAGATGAGTTTTTGTCAGTTCAAGACAGGCTGCGAGAAGAATTGTTCATGTTTGAAAGCCGGACTGAAATGCTCGCCTGTCTGTGGTTCGTGTCAGTCGACACAGTGTTTTAATTATAACTAAAATGAAGGTATTTTCCCGGAAGAATTAGAGATGGATCGAGACCCAGAAGGGGTTGAAGGGGAGGAAGATGAAATAGCTGTCGAGACAGCAACACAGGGGTTCTAAAAACAGGGGAAAGGGACGCGTGGAGGAGAGGAAGGAATAGAGCAAGAGCAAGACGATGAAGAGTATGATTCTGGTGACATTGAATGGTTTAACGTATGATAAATTATAAGCATTGCTATGTATTTCGTATTTTCAAAATGTTTTTCATAATAAAAGAAATTTTTCAAAAACTTTCTTATTTTTCTGAAACCCTGGACCTATATTGTTCCGATAGAAGTTGGCGAAAATTTTGCAGAAGACGCAGAAAATATAAAGGGTCTTCTCGGGTCAACATTCAACACACTCTAAAACTAGTAACCCACTATTAGGCGAAGCGCCGGGATTTGAGACTGCCACATGAAAAAAAAAAAATCTGATGTGTCCAACACATGACTTTCCTATCTAGTTATTATAGGCATTTTCCGGTTATTTTGTACAACCTATTGCAGCATATCTATAAATGTTTAGAGGATAAACTAAATATATACATTTTACACATACATTTACTTCGAAACATTTTTCTATAGATATTCATTGAAAACGAAAATACTGAAAAATTTAAATTTTATCACTTTTCCATTACGGCCCATTTTAGAAAAATCATGTATAAACAAAAATTATAGAAATCGATATCGCAAACAACTTTTAGTTCAACAATTTTCATAAAAATCAGAATTTTGCACATTTTGTCAAATTTCTCGAATACGGACCATTTCAGGAAATTTTGACATAAAGCAAAAATTATAGATAATAATATTAGAAGTAACTTTTATTTGAACAATTTTCTTCTCCAAACATAAATAACATATATTCCATAAAATATAAAAACGGCCTCCCATAAAATACCCCCCCAGATGTTCCGACTTTGTCCAAAATCTAATCATTTCACGTCAGGCCGAAATAAACCTTAAGTTTAAAATTTAATGTTTTTTCCTTTATCCGTTTTTGAGTTTTCTTCAAATTTCGAAATTTACACATTTTCTCAAATATCTCGAATACGGTCCATTTTAGAGAAATTATGTATAGGACAAAAATTATAGAGAATTATATTACAAACAACTTTTATTTAAACAATTTTTATAAAAAATATTTTTTTTACATTTTTCAAATTTCTTGAATACGGACCATTTTAGGAAAATTTTGTATAGAACAAAAATTATAGATAATTATATAAGAAGTAACTTTTATTTAAAGAATTTTCTTCTCCAAACGTAAATAACAGATATATTCTATAAAATATAAAAATGACCACCCATAAAGTACCCCCCCAGATGTTCCGACTCTGCCCAAAATCTAATCAGCTGATTGGACGCTGAAACAAAGCTTAAGTTTAAAATTTGGTGTTTTTCTGTGTATCGGTTCATGAGTTATGCGTTATACAGACACACACACACACACACACACACACACACACACACACACACACACACACACACACACACACACACACACACACACACACACACACACACACACACACACACACACACACACACACACACACACACACACACACACACACACACACACACACACACACACACACACACACACACACACACACACACACACACACACACACACACACACACACACACACACACACACACACACACACACACACACACACACACACACACACACACACACACACACACACACACACACACACACACACACACACACACACACACACACACACACACACACACACACACACACACACACACACACACACACACACACACACACACACACACACACACACACACACACACACACACACACACACACACACACACACACACACACACACACACACACACACACACACACACACACACACACACACACACACACACACACACACACACACACACACACACACACACACACACACACACACACACACACACACACACACACACACACACACACACACACACACACACACACACACACACACACACACACACACACACACACACACACACACACACACACACACACACACACACACACACACACACACACACACACACACACACACACACACACACACACACACACACACACACACACACACACACACACACACACACACACACACACACACACACACACACACACACACACACACACACACACACACACACACACACACACACACACACACACACACACACACACACACACACACACACACACACACACACACACACACACACACACACACACACACACACACACACACACACACACACACACACACACACACACACACACACACACACACACACACACACACACACACACACACACACACACACACACACACACACACACACACACACACACACACACACACACACACACACACACACACACACACCATCGCGAAAATAGTCAAAACAGATTCAGGGGACCTCAAAACGTAAAAATCCGTCGAAAACTCAAAGTCGAAAAAAATCATGATTCCTATACTTTCCTTATATCTGTATACAGATAGGAAAGTAAAAATTGCTCTTTTCTATTAAATTTTGCAACGCAAATTACACAGAACATTAGGCAATATAGATGAGATACCCCAAGCGCTACTTTACAGAAAAAATCCTGTAGAATCCGCCAATAATTGTCGAAAGATCGATTGGTGCCCGGATTTCCATTCATAGGCCCCATAATTTAGTGAGCAGAGGTATACCGCTGGCGCCATCTACAATTGGTCTCCAAAGTCCAAAACATGAAAATCAATGTATTCCCAACTCCCTCGAGCAGAAATTTAGTTAGAAACTAACATTTCTATCCAGTGCAAAAATTCGGGCTTTTTCGTAGGCCGTTTTTGTAAAAAATATTCGTTTTGCGAAAAAAATGACAGGGACCATTTTTGT